TATCTTGTAATGACCAATTCTCGACACCTTGAAGATAGTCATAAATACAGCATTTAAGTTGTTTAAAACCATCTCTCTATAATTCGTTTATATCTGCTAGCTGATTTATAATTTGATCAATTGTGTGCTGTGTTATCTTCTTAATGGCTTTTTTTGAAGTGATTCCACAGTATAAGTTATTATTAGTCCGTAAATGAAACTTTGATTTAAAAGATGCAAAGATGTTTTGATGAGTTACCTAAGATTTTAAAAATCATTAAATTATTCATTTTGCAATTCTTTACTAGTATCACATCATTTGTGATTACTTACACTTGCTTGAATTTGTGAATTAACATTTTGCTTGTTCATCATATGATAAGGCTGTTTAACATTAAATTTATATAATAATTCATATGTCTCACTTGTATATCCATTAGAAGACCCGAACTGACAGATTAATGGCAATAAGTAATACCGCCAGCTATGTAATTTGGGTAAATTTAGATTAGAACATGAAAATTTTGACAGTAATTTGATAAATAAATCACTCCAAGTGATAATCGATCTCTGTTAAAAAAAAAAAAAAGTTAATTAATTTATTAAGATAGTATTTATTTATTTATTTTTTTTGAAAATGACTATTATTAATACCTCGAATTAATTGAGATCCAATCTGGTGTATTTTGGTTAATGACTCCAAATGTACATGTCAATTCAAAATGAGTAAAGGTCACACAATTGTTTATTGAGATTTCTGTTGGATATTAACTCGTCCAAGACAAAAATCATTATTCTCATTAAATCTTGATACTCCGATGCAGTTAACTAATTAAATCTCTCAAACCTATTTTTAAAAGCCCTAAGATTTGGATAATGAGGGATTTGAGAAAGACGTTTCTTAAGAATTCTTGTTGGGCCACTGCCATAATTTAAGTTCAATAACTTAACAGTAAACTGTAACTGATACTAAAAAGCCTAAGATCTGCATGGTGCATGCGGTCTGGCATATACATAGTGTAGACATTAAAGTACCTATGAATATATTTATTATTGTATATTAAAAAATATACTATATTCAGCAACTAAAATTTAAAAATGCCAAATTCAACATTATTCAGTAACTAAAATTTAAAAATGCCAAATTTAACATTATTAGCAAGACTATTATGTGCTTTTATGGACATACATGTCCATGAAAACACATGATAGTCTTGCTAATAAAGTTGAATTTGGCATTTTTAAATTTTTGGCAGTGTTATTTATATAAATTAAATTTATTTACGGTCACTTCTACAATGCATTTCTAATATGATATACAGAAATTTTCTTGCCATTATCTTGGTGTAAAAAGTCTTAGTTGTATTCTTATTTCGAATAACTATCTTTTCTTTTTTTAAATAAATATTATTCATTTCACCGCGATCTACTAAGCAAAAGTGACATGGATGTAGTGAATTTGGTGATCCACAAGAAGCGCATATCATACATGCTTCAGGCCAATTTAAAATTATAAGTGCCAAATGTGGATAAAACCATTTGAGACTTTCATTGACATAGAGATGAATACCAGTATTGCTTAGAGATCTTAATAGTTGAAGCATAGCTGCAAACGTATGATGAAAAAGTTTACGTGTTGCTAATCGAAATTGGAATGGCTGCTTTTGAGATATACTATTATACTCAAGACTAGGAATATAGCCAAGTAAAATTTTTGCATCTATTTTGTTGCAGTGGTTCAAAGAAAAATTTCCTAGAGTCATAAATACTGGATGTCTTGATGTTTTTCCTAAATGGTTGCAGAGAGTAGCGTCTGAGTAAAGGATGATTGGCATAACATATGCTCCAATTGGAATGTTTTGCTCTACATTTTTCCACTAGTTAGAGAAGTGATAGTAAATGACCTGGTCATTTGCAAATTTTTCAAATAACCTCAAATTACTCTAAAATGACCAGTCATTATCAGTTATCTGGATTTTGGATCATTTGCAAATGACTTGTGACCAAATGACCGTGGTCATTTGAAGGTCATTTGGTCATTTTGTCATTGTGCATATAATGTTCACCAATTTTCTATATTCATAAACTTAAATCATATAACAATAATGCATGTATCATGCAAGTATTGCACAAATAGAAATCAAACAATATAATAATTGTTGGATTATCATTACCTTTAGAGCTTATCATTATCATAAAAGCTTATTAATACGTAATATAAAATATAAAGTATGACTATATAAAGCATAAAGAACTCAACGTCAAA